GCTGAGGGGAAGGTGGAGCCCCAGCCGCCCCGGGGGGCTGTTCGCACGTCGGTCTCGCAGCCGAGTGAGGGGTTGGGAAATGGCTGCCCAGGACACCATCTTGTGCTGCTGGGCTGTGCATGGGCGGGCAAAGGGCAGGTGGTCTCTGTGCCTACTTGTAGCCGTCAAGTTTTCAGGTAACTTTATCAGCCTTGTCCCCAAATCACTACAGATAAGAAGAATGTGGAATCCCGCACAGATCACGTCTTGGAAATCGGTGGCAGGTGCCTGAAGATAGTCATCCAGCCGGGAGAAGGGGACCTGAGCAAGAGCCAGGTGACAGAGCAGGCCTTCCCCAGTGACTCCGTCCCTCCCAGCTCTTCCCCACCTCAGCAGGAGCAGTGGGCTGCCAAAGACCATGGAGAAAGAGCAAGAGAAGTCATTACCAAAAAGGTACATCAGGAAAAGCAGTAACAGGCAGGGTCACAACCTGCCCCGCTTGTAGTTCCACCAGTCCTTTGCGTTGCTTTATGTTGCACTTCAATATTTCATGCCAAGCAGATGTCAGCTACATTATCTTAGTCTATGAAATGGGTGCAGGGAGGGACTTTTGAGTGCTGGACCACAGGTCATCCACACACGTTAACGGGTAGCACGTTCTCCAGCATGGCCTTCGCACGTGCCAACTGCTGCCCCCCAAAGCGGCACCCTGGCAGGTTTTGGGGATAGTATGCACCAAGGACTGCTCCCAAAAGATGAAAGAATTGTATGAGATTTAGATCCCTTCCTGCTACTCAGACCTCTAACAGTATTTCAGCATGTTGTGCACCTTCAAACAGTCCTAATTACTTCCATCCCTTACCTCAGTATTAAAAAAAAATCTCTTCTGATGGGATGTAGTGCAGCAGACATTTGACACACATCAGACACTCTGAACTAAAAGTTATGCACAAAAGAAAAGATCAACTGTGTGTTAGGGACATGGGGTAGGCCCAGGCTACGTGTTACGTGATGTAGATGTGACTCTACTGAGACACTGATATCTGGCCCAGAGACCTTGTTTTGCATAGTAGCATAGATGTAGCTTTTAAGCATGTGCCAATGTAGTGGTTATCTGACATCTGTAGCAGTATACTGCAAATTTCCCTGTCCTTCTGTCTGTGCAAAGTAGAGATGTGAACATGTTTGTTAATACCTTTCAGAATCCTGTTTCTGCCTTAACCGTGAGTTACTAAAGCATGGTTTTTGGGGAATTTTTTAAAGAAAGTAAGAGAAAACTAGAAAGTCTAATATAATTAAAGTACAATGTAAAATAACTTAAATGTGCTGTTAAAATACGTTGTGTCTCTGTCACCTGACACTATGGGGACGGACAGGTTCTTCTGGGGATCTTTGGCACAGTGATGATGGCACTAAGTTGTAGTTACACTTAAAGCTTTGGGTTTTTTAACAGGATTTTATTATTAGCATAGCATAGAATTAAAGATCAAAATAGCACAGGATACAAGCAGAATCAGTACAATTTTATAAGCAGGCTAGTACTGAATTTTCTAGCAGAGCTGAGCTTGTGGTTTCTAATCACCTGGACCCTCTGCAGATCACATTGGATCTTAATACTTGGCTTGCTGTATCAATAATCTAGACTAAAAAACACATAAAAGAATATGAGTTATTCACTCAGTCCTTGGAGGAAGCAGAGGACGGTAGAGGTGTCCCTGGCCACGTGGGGATGATGGGTCTCACTGTCCAGCAGCACTTGCAATCCCATTTAGGACTGCTTGATTTTGTAGTCAATGCTCTGCATGCTATTATGCGTCCCTGTTCTGCAATGGAGTCATTATGGTTGGCAGGGTGCCTGGGACCTTCAAGGCCCCTAAGGAAGGGAGTAATTGGCCTGGTGCCCAGGGACCTTGAGGACAACTGGGAGGGGAAGAAGAAATCTGTTTGCTTCATCTACATGGTGCACTATCAGGACCCTGAAGGTCCTGATACTGAGAAGAAAAGGGACTAATACATGACCAGCTGGGTCACAGAGAATGGCCATTAGCCTTATGAAATGGCGTTAGTTATGCTAACCACGTTACCAGAGGTCAGGAGCAGGGAATACTGGTCAGAGTCTCAAGCTAAGTAGCAAAGTGTCTTTGTTCCTGCAATGCTGATAACGTTAACAAATTTCATTTTTGCTGCTGACTTAGAAGCAGATTGCTTTACCTACATGTGTGTAATGTCACTATATGTGATGTAAAGGAAACACTGTACAAATACCTATAGTAATCTGGCCCTACTGAGACGTATGGAGCTTTTCTTTACTCAAAATACAGAAGCAGCATGTGGAGAACCTTAGAAAAAACAAATTCTGATATCTTCCTATCTTCTCTTTAGATATTTCTTACAGTATCTGCAACTTTGAATACCAGTATGTTCACTGAACAGCAAAGGCAGAAAATTACCATTATGTGTCCAAATTTAAAAAGAGAAGGAAATCCTGATATTGATGGGTCTGAGAAACTGACTGGAGATTTTACAGATATCGAAAAAGCTTATTGCTACTTTAAGGATATCCTTGCAGGCAGTGACCCAAACCATGATTTGTCACGTTCTGAAAGTAAGAAGGTTTTGGAAGATGAAAATGATGTGACTACTGAAGAAATAAACGAGCTTACAGTTCCGTCAGCTCTCTATGAATATTTCAGTCATACCCGCCAAGAACAAATCAAAGAACTACGTGAGCGTTTTGGAGTGTGTATAAGAAGTAAAGATGACAGTGGAACCACATCAGTACGCTTCACTGCTCTTAAAAGTCCTGCATCAATACAAGAAGCTAATGATTTTTTTATCAGAACTTTTCAGAAATGTGTAGAAGATCTGAAACAGGAAAAAATTCCCCTAACAAACAATTACACATTAAATGAGACAATAATGAAATTAAATGCTAGGTTTAGTAACCTTCTTGCCAAAGTGGAAGACAACCAGTTGCTACTCCGTGGTCCAGCAAGTGAGATTTTAGCTGCCAGAAGATTTCTAGCAGAGGAAGGTGAGAACAGCCAAGCTGAAAAGAATGTGAAAATATCATCTGAACTGTATGAATACAGGAATGGAATTGAAATTGATGCTTCTGTGTTTAAATTGTTGGAAACAGCATTAAGCAAAGAAATTGAAGACATCAAAGATAAATTTGATACGGTAGTAGAAAAGGAAGACAGTTCATATGGCCAGAAGAAGTTGATAGTATTTAGGCCTAGGATCAAAACTTATGATATGTCTTCACATGCTACTGAAAGTTTCATCAATGCATTTCAGAATGCCTCTGCAATGTTAAGAGAAAAAATGTTTAACACTGAAGACTCAACACAAACTAAAAATAGCAGAGCACTGTCCTCTCTCAGTTATCAAGAAGCTACAGGAGCATCTGAGAAGAAGTACAATGGCAGGCAAAAGAATAATCTTTCTTCTGAAGGACAGTCTAAGGCAAAGGCAGAAGAAGAAGAAGACAAAGATGTGTGTCCAATTTGCATGGAGACAATTAACGAAAAAGAAACGCTGAGCAAGTGCAATCACACATTTTGCAAAAGTTGCATCACCCAGGCCATGAGTTACAAGCAGATTTGTCCTGTTTGTAATACTATCTATGGACCCATGAAAGGAGACCAGCCAGAGGGAACCATGTTAACCAGAACAGTGTCTTCATCTCTCCCTGGTTACCCCGATTGTGGTACTATTGAGATTACATATAATATGAACGGTGGTATTCAAACTGTAAGTATATTTAAAGATTCAAAGATTTTTTTTTCCCCACAACGAAAGCAGTATTGAATATAAAATTAACTGTTTTTCCACCATTTTAATGCATATCCAGGAAAAACATTTCTTTGTTCTGTACAAATCTGCAAGTATTTAATTCAGGACTTTTTGGGTGCGATTAAATAATATAGTAAGAATTAAATATCTATATGCACTAGGACAGAGCTACCTGTCTTTAATTTGTACATTGGGAATAACTGAACTGATATCTGTGGAATAATACAAAGTAAACTAAATTTTGCAAGTATGATGAGGATTCTCTGAGGCATTCTTTTAGCTGCCAACACCAGTGGACAAAAATGAATAGCAGGCTGGCTTCTAAGCTTTCCAGGTAAGAAATCAGCTTATGTTATGTGCTTGGAGTCATGACTAGGAGTGAAAATGGGATAAAAGAAAAAGTCATGTGTGGGGTAACGTGCATTTGGGAGAACCAAGAGGAAAATCAAATTTGAAAATAACAATGGATGTATGAGTGATGACAAGAAAATATGAATGAAACTTACATGAAAGAAATTATCTTAAGGAGAAGAAAACTCCTCAAGATCAGTCATCAGTCATGCTACGTCCTTCTGAATCAAAGACAGGATAAAAAGTATTAAAAAAGCTGGGATGTGTGATTTTCCCACTTTCAAAGCATTTATGATACACAATGTGTTTGTGTTTTGTTTTTCTACAAAACAGAACAACCATCCAAACCCAGGGAAACGTTATTGGCCTACTTCCCGAACAGCATATTTACCTGACAGTAAGGAAGGGCGAGAAATTCTGCAGCTCCTCAGAAGAGCCTTTAAACAAAAATTGATTTTCACAGTGGGGCGCTCAAATACTACTGGTGCAGAAGATGTTATCACATGGAATGATATTCACCACAAAACTTCCAAGGTTGGAGGACCTACTGGGTGAGTAGTCTTCCCTTTATGTCATTTTATTGCTACTCAGATGTGTCAGAAAGGCTACCCCGAGTATTTTCCACATTAGAGCTTTCAGATTTTGTCACTAACAAAGTGATTGTGGGATGCTCTATGGATCCAGACTTGAGAATCACCTTCAGCAATTTGGATGGTTGGAACAAGGATGGGCTTAGTTTTCTGTTGCCCCTCAGGCCACTCATTCATCAGTGAGTTGGGTAAAGTACTTACTCAGTTAATAACTACTCTGCTTCATCAGTGAGTTGGGTAAAGTACTTACTCAATAACTACTCTGATGATAAACTGCCTCTCGTACAGGACAAGACAGCAACCTCTTGATAGCAGCTAAGTTTGGACTTCTGATATCAGCCTCTTCTGTTCCCTGCTTTTTGGACCAGGAGGAACTGGTCCATTATGATCCCAGTAAAGATGGCATGCAGACTCTGTAAAAAATGATTTGAAATTCTACTTAGTACAGCTAACAGCAAGAAGAAAGAGATTGTTGTATAAATACAATTCACTCATCCCACTCCTTGATGCACATACAATTGACCTTTCTTAAAAATATGATTAATTACCAATTATATCAGTAAACTGTTTGGCTCCTGGAAAATATCTTAAAGACGTAAGAGGGAGGCTTGGAACAGTCCTTTCAAGCTTGTTGCAAACTCTCAGGGGCAGTTGTGTTCCTGAAAGCTCTGAAGATTGGTGTCTACATCCTCCTTCTCCTGGGCTAGGATCATAAAAATCCAACAGTATCAGTTTTACTTTATCCCCCCCTCTGCCCAAATGCTCTCCCTCGTTATCACTTGCTTCATGCACACTTTTGGTGATGTGCTACTTAAAATCCAGAGGTGCCATTATATTAATGTTTTGCATGCTCACTTGGAAACACCTCAGGTCTGATTTTTAGTGAGATGTATATACCCAAGCACCCTGTCATTTTCAAGTGAGACAGCGGGCAGCTTTGAAAATCCAGTTCTTAGTGTCAATTTGGACAACCAAAGTCAGCAGCTCCTTTTCTTAAGTTTTTAGCTTTACCCTGTCTGTACCACCCCTCTGACCTGCAAAATAGGGTCTGTTTTCTCTGTAGAGTAAGAAGTTAAGTGCATAAAATTTGTAAAGTATTCTGAGAGATTTTGATGAGAAGGTTCTGTAGAACTGTTAAGCGCTTTGTGGCAGAATCAGCCTAAACAATTCTTTTATTCTTCTCCTAGTTTTGGTTACCCTGATCCTGAATATCTGCAGCGGGTTCGATCAGAATTGAAAGCAAAAGGAATTGAATAAAGAAATTTATCAACTGTCAACTCTTAAGTGTAATAACTGACCATTAGCTAATTCACTGTTCAAGCACTAAGAAGAAAGAAGTTACTTCGTTCAACCGCTGTACTATAGCTAAGAAATATAATCTGTTGTCATCAAACAATATATGTTCTTTTTACACATCATTTACTTCCTTGACTAACACTTGCCTGTATGTGTAGCCTTTACAAAATCTAGGTCTTGTGAGTGCAGCATCAGTACATGTTGCACTTGTCGAATATAAAATTGTGTGTTTTACTTTACCAGAGAATCTGATCTGTACTTTTCCCCATTAATCTTCAGTCTGACCACCAAAACAGGTAGATTCACTACTAGCTTTTATTTGATCAAACACTTTCTTTACTTTTGTGTCATCATGGGTAGCATCACGTAAGCCATCTGCTAGAAAATTTTTATGCAGCTGTTGTATCAGGCTATGATCTTTTGCTTCTTTTCCTTTTCAGAGTAGAAATGGCATTAGTGATTTGGGTTTTAAACATGAAATTAGCATGGATACTATATGAGGGGGTATGTGGATGCTGCTGTATTTTTAACCCTGATGAAGTGCTACATGCTTAGAGCCATGTTGGAGCAAATGGAAAGTAACAGTGCCTCTGGCCATCTCTAATAATGGGGTCCTGGTTCTGTGCCTTCCATCGTGTTTAAGCTTAACTACAACTTTTAAGTCAGCTGTGCACCTAGAAAATTATATTATTTCTGTTGCTTCTAATATATGGTTTAAATTGTATTATAAAGATACTTTGTTGCTACTCTGCACTGTCTAAATAGCTTACTAATAACCTTTGTGGTAGTATGAAACAAATCGCTTTCACTTAATGCAGGCACAAATTTTAGTGATTTAAACACTTTTTGTTGCACTGTTGAATATAACCAATAAATAAAATGCAAAAATACCATCTGCTCAGTTCTGTGTCCTTCTGTACAGGTTTATCTTCCTGTTCTAGTTATCTATAGTGGTTTTTTTTTTTAATTTAGGCAACACCATGATTTAGGGTGATTTGGACCCCATGCCACCTCCTTCTTTTTTTTTTTTTTTAAGATTCCCACATTGTGAATTAATAGGCAATGCTACTTTACCAACCTGACTTTCAGATTTCATAGTATTAGGCACTGGTTGGGATGACTTTCCTACTCTGGTTTTGATTTACTGCATTTGTTTTCACATTTTATGCTATTTCCCGTTTCCTCCCTTTTCTGTGCAGTAAGATACCAACATTCCAGTTATTTCTGAATGACTGTGCTTTTCTGCACACTGAAACAAGCTGTGAAGGTCAGATCTCCCCAACTTCTTTCAGTTTCTCTCTGTCCCAATAAGCCAGTTCACTGATGTCAGACTCCTAGGTGATAATTCACCGTCTCCCATTGTATCTATGGCAAAGTTTGCAGGCTGAGCTTCGCAGCAGAGCCCTGTTGCTGTCACTAAAAGCTCCCAAGCCTTTATCCTACAACCAGCCCTACAGACCTTTGCTTTGTAATCACAGCTGTGTGGTTCAGGAATAAATCTACCCGATTTGCAATCAAAGTCAGGTATTTTGCCTAGGTTACAACAAGGGGAGCATGCACCTGGGCTAACTGTTGAGACAACAGTGCATTAGGAAACAAAAGATTGATTGTCCACAGAGAAACAAAGACCTCCAGACTTCCCCACTGGTCTGCTCAGCAGGATGTCTGAGCACTGTATTATACACCTATATTTATCATAGAATCACAGGATGTTGTGAGCTGGAAGGGACCCACAAGGGTCAGAGTTCAACTCCTGTCCCTGCATAGGACAATCCCGAGATGCATCTGAGGGCCTTGTCCAAATGCTTCTGGAA